AAATGAAAACGGAGACTTTTTGGTGAACTCCTGATACAGACTGATATAACCACTGCATAAAATGAACACTTCTACCCTGGAGGAGGGATTTGATCAGATATGAGAAGACCTTGACCTATAGCTGAAAACCTAAAAGGGCCAGAAAGTTAGACCACTGATTTATAGATTTATATATAGATTTATAGTCTTCTGATTCACCTTCTCATTCTTTATATCTCCCATTTATCGGGAGCACAAAGCAGGACTCTAACCAGCAACATCAGCACTGCTGGATTCCTAACGTGCTTTCAAAAGAGGGGAGAACACAAACACACGGCGAGCATACAGGCGGGAACGATGGCTGGACGGATCTAAAGGAATGTTCGCTAGTCAGTCTTCTCCTGGTTACCATGACGACAAAAACAAGGCCGAATTTATACCAGTATATGTGTTAACTGAAGGGTTAATGGTGCTTAATTGGGGAAGGTGTTTTAATGGAGAAAATGAAAGAAAAAACAGCCAACATTTAGTGCCACTTATACCATGAAGAACTGAATAATACCTGGAACTAGGACAAAATCAATATGTATTTCTAAACATTGCTGTAATGATTACCCTAAAGTTAAAATATTTTCTCATTAAAAACCTCTACTATAACAAACATTCACATTCCAGACAACTATTCTTACTTTAGTATCAAGTGCTCCATAGATACAGCTCACTTTAGCTTGGAATGCCTCACACTTCTCTGACATCTGTGTACTTCCTGAACTGGGCAGGGATCCATTGAAATTACACCAAGATTGTTTCAAACAAGTTATTTCCATTCCCTAGTCCTAAAGGAACCAGTAAATTAAAGGAAATGTAAAAAAACCAAAACAACAACTATATATATATCTTACGGTAGTTGTCAAAGACAATACACAGTTCCCCAAAGGTAAGGATAAAGTAACATTTGGTTGGTATGAAACATCGGCTTTTTCTTCCCAAAAGGGTAAGATATAAAGCAAAAAAAAAAAAAACTGCCACTCCGCACATACTAGCCAACTAGCCAAAATAGCAGGACACAGTTTTAAAATGGCACTGATGACAAGAATCCAGCAGCGAGTGAGACATTTGTCCAACCTGCCCATATGGCTCATACAAATATAACGAGGTTGTTTCAGAGCAGAGATCAAAAAGCAGTCCAATAATGAACACAAAATAAATGATGGTCAAACATAATAGACCCAAAGCCTGACAACTCAGCAACAATTAGGTCAATTTACTTTTTTTTTAATGCTTGCGAAATTATGTCACCCGAAATAGCTGACTTTAAAAATGGAACATCACGTGTGTGGATGGAGCCAGTTTTTCTAAATTAACGAAGTTAAATAATTAGAGAAGCAGCTGTAGTCATTGAAATCATATTGTCTTCATGTATAACAACTCAAAACCTTTAGAAAATAACCCTAATAGCCCAAATATGTTTAACTGATCATTCCAATTAATAAACTATAACATATTAATTTCTCATTTCTAAACCAGTCAAAAGGTTTTCCTTGCTGTTAAAAATCTCAACAGCTATATGAGATATTCTGGTGTGAAGTGGATTTCTTCTTCACAGACCTAAAAACTGCAGCGTGAGCAACAGAGAAGCTGCCAGAGAGAGAAACACTGGCAGCGCCGGCAGTCATAATGGAATTAGGCCCTTCTAATAAGAGAAGGCTGGTCTGCCCCAGGTTGAAAGACTGCAGTCCACACGCAAACGACTGTGCACCATCCAAGAGGCATTTCCCAAATGCTTACAAAAACACAAAGGCCGTCATCCTGCTCCCACGCCCCACAGCCTCACTGTGCAGGAAAAGCAGCTTCCTTCACTTGTATATTTAAGCCAGGGTGATTTCGTGTGTACTGGATAGCAGTCACGAAGGCAAGAATCAAGCCCCAACAGGATCAAAAGCTTTCAACATCTCCTTTCAACTCAGAGCCAATCTTGTTCAAATTAACTCTGAGCATTTAAGCAGCTAATCACACTGTATCACCGCTTCCTTTGAAGTCACGAATGTAAACCCCGGATTTCAAAAAAAGCGCAGACTATCTGAACTGACCTCAGATTTGTTCGATGCACAAAGCATATGCTGAAACCTACTCATTTCAAACCCACTGATTACAGGAGGAAACAGTGGAGTAATCAGTGTCCTCATTTCACCTCGGCCATGAGTCAAAATAGCCAACAAGTAGTTACACAGTGTAATAGACCAGTAAATTTATTTATAAGCTTTAATGCAATTCAATCCAGTTAATTGATACCACACCAATTAGCAAACAGACACGGTCTGTTTTTAAGCTTATCTTTTACAACCAGTCATGATGTTACATATCTTTAGTTGTTGTTGACACAACTCTAAAAAACACTTCAACCCTTCTTATGTTTAATGTAGTTTAATAATGCTGAAAAAAAAAAAGAAACAGCAAAAATGCAAACAAATAAGAAAAACTAAACAAATCAATCCAAATAATATATTTTTTCTGCTTTATAATGCTGATGAAAACTGTAAATTTTTATATCAACATGTCCGTCTGATATCAGATTCTTATTTAGCTTTTAATTAAAAACTTGATTACTAAATACAAAATAAAACTATGTTAAGAACAGTTTGTGCAAACACTGAACTGCCACATTCATTCTTTTTTCTACAAAAAAAAAAAAAAAAACCCAAAGCTAATTCAGTTAAATGGCCTCAGATCTAGACAACCATACCTGCCCGATTTAAAAAAACCTCACTGACCTGAAACAGTTCAACAACAAAGTATAAAAATTACTCAAATCCATTCAAACCTGTGAAAATTTGAACAATTTTGCACAACTTCCGTAAATTTGTTTGTGATTTCTATGTTTATACCTTACTGCATGAATTTGTTTCGTCTTAGGGACAGGTCTGCAAATGTTTGTGTTCGGTTTAGATACTAAACTTTTCAACTCAATACCAATACGAAGTAAAATATTCGATACTCGATGTCATTTTCGATACCACAAGGATAAAAACAAAGACTCCAAAATCCAACAGAATTTTTTTCTGTTTGTGTTCCTTCCTTGGCTATGCTTTACATACATAACAATGACACTAGCCAAACCAGTTAAAAAACAAAAATCATTCTCAGCAGCTGCATCTGTTACAGAAAAAAGCCTGAAACCGAAAAGTGCACAGAATTATTCAATCACACAGTGTTCAGAAAGTGCATTTTCCTCTAATCAGCGCATAAGATGAATGACTGTTTAGGTGCCACTGGTGGTAGTACTGTATCGATACTTTTGAAAATGAGTATTGTATCCGGATACAACTTTTCAGTATCAATACTTTTTTAAATATCGATACTTTTGACAACCCTAGTCCCTATAATTGTATTAAATTAAAATATATATATAACCATCAGCCATTACCAGTCATCATTAGAGCTTCAGTTGATGAGCAATAATGATAATTATTTTTTTTATAATATGGGCTGCAGTTAAGTATATCTACACAAATAACTTTTTACTGTGTAAATCCCAGTTTCTAATAATCTACATTGATACAAAATGTTTTTTTAAGGCCCAGGTTCCATATAACCATGGGAAAAAACTATCTTGATCTTGAGGAAAAACCTTAAGGTTTTTATTTGGAAAATAAAATCTAAACAAACACCTTGTTGCTCAAAGCTGATTTTTTTGGGTCTCGGTTAAACATATAAATACTGTTTTTTTTTTTTTCCTTCTATGAAGCATTTATTATTAATCGCAATAAATAGTATCCATTTTTCTGGTCTTGATAAATACATATAAATAAGCACTAATGACTGTGTAGTATTCTTTAAACATGTTTTAATAAAAAAAAAGATGTTCAGCCAAAATTGGTCCACATTCAAATGACGTCACATGTGATAGATATGAATCTTTATTGCAATACTCTGCAAAAAAAGCTTAAAAATACATGGGCAGTGATTTTTCTTTTTTTTTCACGAGCAGCTCTGTGGTTGAAAACATCCTGCTGAGTTAAATTAAACGTCTCATTTGATAAACTGCAAATAATGCGTGAGAAAGAGGGGAATAAAGGGAAACGTGATGTTTAAATGTCCTGTTGGCTTCCAGAGCCTCCATAAATGGTGCAGTGCACCGCCGCCATCTTACCTCTCCATTCTCTACCCGAGTGACTGAACCTGACGAGGGGTGTCTATGATATGTGTTTCCCAAAATAAAAGTCCTTTTTACGTCCTCATTTCTTAAAGTCTGAGCTGTATCACGAAGCAGGGGTTCAGTGAAATACAACTAGCTACACAACGTTGTCTTATTTCCTAATAAAATATCAACACTCACTCCCATATGAGCCCTCAGGATATGGAAAAATGAGACAATACGCGTTCATTCGCTGGGGAAACGAACAGAAAAACGCAACTGTGTGACCACAGCGTTTATTTGTTTCTTCTTATCGTTATAAAGGTGGCTACTCTGACACTTTAATATTCCGTAAATACAAAAAAAGGCTGTTTTAAAGCAGAAAACAGCGGGGAAGGGTGATGAAGATGGAAAGGGGGTTTTAACGCACTGCTTGGACCAAATTAACCGTCGCACAACGACGACAAAACGCACAAATACATCATGTGTCATTAGCTGTTTTTTTAAACAACAGTTATACACACATATAATATAATTCCTCTATTTTTGCCCTCTTTTCCATAGCATTAGAACCACTGGTTTCAATATTTTTTCCCAAACTTCCGGTTAAACTTTCAGCGTAAAACAACCACGAAGGACGTTGTTCGATTAAACCCTCAAGCACTCGAGTGAATAGAGAAAATTAAACTATTTTCCCTATTTTAATACAAAAATATATAAAATATTTAATGTTATTTATTTGACTTTAATGACATTTAGCATTAACTAAAAAAAAAAAAAAAATACTCACTTCCGGTCTGATTTTTAGTTACTAGATGCTAGCTTAACTGAGATGGCAGCAAAACAATATTCCTGAAAAAAGCTTTTTAAGACGAAAATTCCTTACCTCTACAGCTAGAGCCGAGGCCACCGCAGCCAGCAGCAATAAAGCCACTCGGTCTCCCATGTCGCTTTGTGAAAGCAACGCTCCTAAGCAGCGTTTTTCTCCTGACGGTCTGTAACGTATGCGTCGGTGTGCTCTCCACCGGTGACTCCCGCTGTCTGATGGGAAGCCTGAAGCTGCACAGCTGCTAGGATCGGATCACCTGACCGCAGCAGAGTGGGATTAACGCAGCCTTTCATGCTCACAATATCATCATTCTCTAGCTCACTTTTTTTATTATTATTATTTTGGTACATAGACACTGTTTTATTTTTATTTATTTTTACGTCTTAACAATTAATTTATAAGCATGTTATACGGACTAACCTACGGAAGACGATTAGGGCCATTGAAAAAAACAAAAAAAGTTAACTGATTTTTTAATTTTATTTCAGAATAATATGAGAAAAAAGTCAGAATTCTGATTTTAATCTCAGAATTCTGAGTTTTTAAAAAAGAATTCTGACTTTAATCTCAGAATTCTGACTTTAAATCTCAGAATCCTGACTCTAATCTCAGAATTCTGACTTTAATCTCAGAATTCTGACTTTAATCTCAGAATTTAGATTTTTTTTTCCTCAGAATTCTGACTTTAATCTCAGAATTTTGGATCTTAATGTAGATGGGCAACATGAAGGAAGAGTAGTGGGAGCACTCAGCTTCACTGACAAAGATGGGAATTGTTTGGGAGGGCCAGTAACACATTGGTGAGAAATGACGAAATTAAGGCAACTTCTTACATGTTATTTCATTAATAAAGGAGCAGAAGGTGATTAAAACAATACAGCTAGTCTCTTAAACAGACATGGCTACAGGTTGATGCTAACATGTTTGTTAGCTGTCAGAATTCAGTTAGAATTCAGAGGAAAAGTCAAAATTCTGAGAAAAAAGGGAGAATCCTGAGATTACAGTCAGAATTCTGACTTTTTTCCCATATTAAACTGAAATAATATTTTAAAATCAGTTAAATTTTTTTTATTTTTTTTCAGTGGCCCAAATCCTCTTCCGTACTAACCAGATTGTGTTGTAAAGTCAATGAAAAATTTTTTAGGATTACTTTATTATCTCTAGAACATCATGTAATGTACAGATTATTTATTTATTTATTTAGTTTTTTTTTTTTTTTTGAAAGCCACCTTAATATAATACACCCTCCCAAATGATTACCATCACGCCTCTGGTGACATCACTTAGGTAAATGATTAGAGATCTTTAATGTTTATATAAAGGACTATATAATGCGAAGATGCCTTTTTTAAAGATAGTTTGTTTCCCCCTTAAACAATGGCAGTTCAAGATGTAATTTACAAGGGGGGCACGGAACAAAGAAATAAAACACACACCCATAATCTTTCTAACATCATATTGAGGACCATGTGTTGACCCCCATTGACTTCCATTGATTTTCAGTCATTTTCAACCCTTTCTATGCCCTAACCCTAAATGTAACCATTACCAATGCATACCTCATCCTAACCCTAACCAATTGACACCTTAGCTCTAAACCTAACCATTAGCAAAATAGCATGTGGGGAATGGCAAAATGTCGTCCCTTTGCAACAACTGGTCCTCAATTTGATGGTGAAATTGGAAAATGGTCCTCACCCTGAGGGCTAGACAGGTACACAAACACACACACACAAAATCAAAAAAACAGGGCAAGATCAAATTGTTTTGTATACTAAGGGAGCCATAATACCAAGGTTGCAGACTCCCGAAAACTGTGATCCTATAGCTGCAGTTTAAAGGTGACTTTAATTTCTAAATGTAAATTGTACAGGTGAAATAGCAAATTGGTCCATTTAGTCTCTTCCATCAGCACATCATCATAAAAAATCAATTCAGTATTACACTGCAAATATTGGTCTATATAATTAGAATTACATTTACCTTTAATTCGAGTAGGTCTCCCAAAGGAATGTGCATTTTTGCCCTTATAACAGGATAATTAGATATGATTCACTTAAAGATATAGTTGAGGGGAGTGTTGATCTAGTGGTTAGGGCAGTGCGTTTGTGCTCTGAGAAGGTTGCAAGTACCCAGTTTGATCTCCACAGCTTGCCCTCTGGGTCCTTAGCCCACACTGCTCCCCGGGTGCCACAAGGGATGGGTTAAAATGCAGATAGTAAATTTTCCCCCATGTGGGAAAATAAAGGGATTTAAATTTTATCTTATTTTTAACATAACTCATTTGATTCCACAATAAAAATGTGTGTGTCAATGTACTTAATTTGTGAAAAAATGTCTGCAATCATTGAAAAACCCTTTTTAGTGTATGTTTCAAGCACAGGTACCATAGCAGGGGCCAATAGAACCCTGTTATATAGGGACATGGGCCCCTGTTGCCCCCCTGTCTAAAACCGCCATTAAACCATCCAGCTCCAAATCTAAAATGAGTAACCCCCATCTAAAACAAACCTTGCAGGCTCACAGAGCTGCAGTTAGAGCCAAAGCCGACCTTTCCTCCAACCAAAGATGATCCAAGATGATTAAGTCGTCGTTTTATTGTAAGTCATTTTTAATGTTAATCTAAATATGTTTAAATAAATCAAAAATTAAATCATATCCTAGGGTAAATAACCAGAGTATACATCCTTTGTCTGCATTTAAAAACACATCTTTAATTTACAATGCAGTAAATAGTAAAATAAACAAATATTTACCTGACATTTATAAGGGTGAAGCCCCATCAATTCACAGTTAAAAATCACTTTCAGTTTAAAATAAACATCTGTTTATTTATACCCCGCGTTATTAAAAATAGCGCATAAACCCAAAACAAATGAAAGTATATAACAGTTTTCGTAGCTGCCTATGGTTTAAAGTCAGCATTTTGAATATACTTAAGTCAAGTCTTTCAGTTTAATATGAAGCAGGTCTAGATCTGATATGTAAAACGTTCACTTGTCTAACAAAATTAAAACGGGACAAAATAGCTCCAAAATGAACAGAGAGAAAGAATTTTCTTTCCCTAGATGATTTCTTCCCACTCGTGATATGAAATGATGAAAACAAGGTCTTCATCTTCATCAAAGCATAGGCAGTATCTTTGATGTGCACAAAGGGGGGCAGAAAGTACAGGTCAGAACAGTTAAGCTGCCAACAAGTTAAGTCTTTCTGACGTGATGAGGCATGTGTGCGTTTCCAATCCTGACCCACATTTTTTTTAATGGTTCTCTTTGCACAAGAATATCTGCTTCAAAGCTTCAAACTGTGTGTGTGTGTGAGTGGAGGAGGGTTATTCTGACTCACTGCTCTAAAGTTTTAATCCCAACATATTTACTATGTAAACCCAAGGAGCAGAGTGTCCATTTATGTCCATGTTCCCCAATTTCTGGGAATAAAAGATGCTCCAGCCGGCATGTGATCAGAGCGGTGAGGATTCACTTGCGGCTGAAGCCTGGGTAAGGAGGAGGCGGGGAGTAGCTGGCTTGCTGAGGCTGAGCTGGGGTGTAGGGTGGCGGTCGTAGCGATGGTGGGTACATCTCATAGTCGTAGGTGTAAGGAGGTGGAGGACCTGCGATAAAGAAAGAAAAACAAACATTAGTACTATATGATTTACACACATACACTATATTGCCAAAAGTATTTGCTCACCCATCCAAATTATTGGAATCAGGTGTTCCAATCACTTCCATGGCCACAGGTGTATAAATTCAAGCACCTAGGCATGCAGACTGTTTTTACAAACATTTGTGAAAGAATGGGTCGCTCTCAGGAGCTCAGTGAATTCCAGCGTGGAACTGTGATAGGATGCCACCTGTGCAACAAATCCAGTCGTGAAATTTCCTCGCTCCTAAATATTCCACAGTCAACTGTCAGCTGTATTATAAGAAAATGGAAGTGTTTGGGAACGACAGCAACTCAGCCACGAAGTGGTAGGCCACGTAAACTGACGGAGCGGGGTCAGCGGATGCTGACGCGCATAGTGCGAAGAGGTCGCCAACTTTCTGCAGAGTCAATCACTACAGACCTCCAAACTTCATGTGGCCTTCAGATTAGCTCAAGAACAGTGCGCAGAGAGCTTCATGGAATGGGTTTCCATGGTCGAGCAGCTGCATCCAAGCCATACATCACCAAGTGCAATGCAAAGCGTCGGATGCGGTGGTGTAAAGCACGCCGCCACTGGACTCTAGAGCAGTGGAGACGCGTTCTCTGGAGTGACGAATCGCGCTTCTCCATCTGGCAATCTGATGGACGGGTCTGGGTTTGGCGGTTGCCAGGAGAACGGTACTTGTCTGACTGCATTGTGCCAAGTGTAAAGTTTGGTGGAGGGGGGATTATGGTGTGGGGTTGTTTTTCAGGAGCTGGGCTTGGCCCCTTAGTTCCAGTGAAAGGAACTCTGAATGCTTCAGCATACCAAGACATTTTGGACAATTCCATGCTCCCAACTTTGTGGGAACAGTTTGGAGCTGGCCCCTTCCTCTTCCAACATGACTGTGCACCAGTGCACAAAGCAAGGTCCATAAAGACATGGATGACAGAGTCTGGTGTGGATGAACTTGACTGGCCTGCACAGAGTCCTGACCTCAACCCGATAGAACACCTTTGGGATGAATTAGAGCGGAGACTGAGAGCCAGGCCTTCTCGTCCAACATCAGTGTGCGACCTCACAAATGCACTTCTGGAAGAATGGTCAAAAATTCCCATAAACACACTCCTAAACCTTGTGGACAGCCTTCCCAGAAGAGTTGAAGCTGTTCTAGCTGCAAAGGGTGGACCGACGTCATATTGAACCCTATGGATTAGGAACGGGATGTCACTTAAGCTCATATGTGAGTCAAGGCAGGTGAGCAAATACTTTTGGCAATATAGTGTATATCTCTGCTATGGTAAAAAACCTGTAAGGCTCAGTGACTAAAAATGCCCCCAATTTCAGTAAAGCAATTGCACCATCTAGTGGTACAATTATGAAATTGCAATTAGAACAAAATGTACCAGCTTTAAAGATATAAAAACTGAGAAATATCCAATACTTATTTTTCCCCCACAACTAGTCCTGCATAATTTTCCACATTTTAAACCATTTTAAGGTTCCCCCTTTGAATACTTTGTTTTCTCCTATGAATTTAGAGTCTTTAGTGCATTTAAATCACTGTACTTATGTTAATATGTGGATCATGGCGATGCCTCGACAGTGACTGGAAACAGCTCTAGACAATTCTATAAAATTTTTAGAAATGTCTTGAGAGCTGTACTGAATAAAATTTCTTTTTGTATATACTATGCGTGTACAAAATGATAATAAAGTTTGTCTAAGTCGAAGTCATGTGGTGCCAAGAATATGGTTTAAAGAAAATTGCATATGGTATGTTCGCATTTTTAAAGGTTGTTTTTCCTCAGTCACCGATTAATTAAGCCTCTTTTAAGGTAGCCTTTTCAGATGCGTCAAAAAGTATACTGGGTCTAAATTAGGGCCGAAATAATCAGATTAATTGATTATTGAAATAATCATAAACTACTTGAGTAATCGATTAATCATTAAAGGAAGTGTAAAGACTCTAAAACATGCCTTTAGCTGACAGAGCGACTTCATAAAAAGTCTTATATAGTGAACCTTTTGCTATCAGACTAATTGATTAATAAAAAGAAAAATATCAACAGATAAATCGATTTGCAAAATAATTATTTGTTGCAGTCCTAGTCTAAATCCAATGCAATAATTTTGACAAAGTTCTTATAATAATGACAAGTATTGTGTTGATTTGAATCAGACAACATCTGGAAGACTAAGATTTAGTAAGATTTTCTAATTATAATTTCTTAAGGAGTTCCCCAAGGCTCATTTCTTGGTCTACTTTTATTTAGTATCTATATCATCTGCCTGGCTGTGTGTTTCCTGCCTTTTGTATGTCTTCCTCTTTTTCTATATCTGTTTCTGTCTCCTTGAACCCCAGTCGGCCTCGATATATGGCCGCTCACACTGATCCTGGTTCTGCTGGAGTTTTTCCCTCTCCACTGTCGCTACAAGCACGCTAGGTGTGAGGGATTGACTTCGAGTCAATGAGTCGATGCAATCAACTGGTTTTCCTTAGATGGAAAACTTTGAATCAATCTGACTGTATGATCTGGTTGAATTTTCTCTGCAAAGCGCCTTGAGATGACGTGTTAATTGGCGATATATAAATAAACTGAATGGAATTGAATTGATATGTTCCCTTTATGTTCCATCTAACATTTTTAACTAGACATTTGCTGATGACACAAAGATTTATATTTCCTTTTTCATTAGCGTATGACCATAATTCAAATCCATAACCGAGTTGATGAGTCTTTAACATAAACGGATGGATGGGCCAGGATTTGGTAGTTTCATGCAGAAGGTTGAGACTAAACACATTTCAGAGATGCTTGTCAGACCCCTCAGGTCATCAGAGATATCCACTCTCATCATTTTGTTTCAATGCTTTGCACCTATGTAATCAATTTCTTAAAGGGATAGTTCGGTATTTTTGACATGAATCTGTATGGCATCCCGTTCACCAGCGGCATGCAATCACACTGACTTACCCCTGGCAGCGTCCTGTGAGCAGAGTTATCGTCCAGTTTTGGTCAAGCCGAAAGTAGTCCTGCAGGTTTTTAGGAACAGCGAAATAAAACTTTTCTCTTCCCAAAACATTATGTGTTCAAAAGAGTGATATTTTCGCATCCCAAAAACATTGTAGTGGAAAAAGTCACACGTCGTTATCAATTGGTGCTATTTTCTCTCTGTTCGTATCAGTGCGCGCCGTCATTCAGACAGCGAGCCCAACAACAGCCATGTCTCCCTCCGCCGCGGAGGGAGACATGGCTGTTGTAAAAATATCACTCTTTTGAACACATAATGTTTTGGGAAGAGAAAAGTTTTATTTCGCTGTTCCTAAAAACCTGCAGGACTACTTTCGGCTTGACCAAAACTGGACGATAACTCTGCTCACAGGACGCTGCCAGGGGTAAGTCAGTGTGATTGCATGCCGCTGGTGAACGGGATGCCATACAGATTCATGTCAAAAATACCGAACTATCCCTTTAAAAAAAGGCCTATTTTAATCATGGAATTAACACTACCACATCTAGTGCAAATATATATTGCCTTCCCGTTCGTACCCGTTTGCACAATGCATAAGTATTGATATTGCATCAGGTTAAGAAGTGTCTTCATGAAATACGATCGGAGCCACAGGGCAGCCTGAAAACAGCTCAGGTGCTGTCGCATGAAGGAGAAACACAGCTGTGAATGAAAGATTGTGAATAAATGATGAGGCAGAGACAGAAAAAATAGAAAGGTCAAGGAGTGTCACAGAACACCAGCTCTGATGCAAGATGATGTCTGATTATTGAAAAGAAATGTATAAATAATAATAAAATACAAATTTTCTGCCTTCAAGCAACAGCAGATTGTAATAAATACTTTAAACTCTAATATTAATCCACCTTTTGTTCAGGCACACTCCCTAAAGGCGAAGGATGGATTACATTTTAGATAACTTCATTCCATCTTATGGCCTCATTTGACAGCTACTAAGGTTAGAAGCAATTATATGTCAATCTTACAACATGGTGTATTCAATTAATTGGGCCATTGCAGTAATTAAAACCAAGCAAATTATATCAAACATTTATAAATGCTAATTTTGATTTTTTTTTAAATTACAGCTAAGCCAAAATCTAGTTTTTCTAAAAATTTTAATCCTGCTCAAGTCCAAAAAACAAAATTTTTATTGCAGAAACAAGGTGGTCTAGGTAATCGTTGCCATGCAATTGGCTAAAGCTAGGCGTTTACAGAGTGCTCCTTCCAAGCATGTTGGTGGAAAGTTGAATGGAAGAAATAAAAATGGGACCAAAAAGAGGAAAAAGCAAAATATAGGGGGTTTAGGTAAATTTGGGAATGCAGATGGGATAGCAAAAAAAAATGTAATTAACAACAAAATTTATATAAATCCAAAGGAAAAAGTTCTTTACTTTTTTACTAATTACTACAAAAAATTTATGTTTTGTGTATTTTGTCTTTGTCTTTTCACCCTGGAAAAATATTAATAATAATAATAACTTTATGGAATCTCCGATCATCATAATATTAAGGAAGTTGTTTGGTTTTCTGTCCTGGAGAGGAAAGCCGTTTAGTAACAAAACAAGTGGATGAAGTACAGAACTAGAGAAAAAAACAACAACTTGCGAATATGCTTGCTAAAGGTACAGTGAAACACAACCTTTTATTGGCTGAAAGGCTACCAAGTAAAAAAATAAGCTATTTCTCTGCTCAGGAAGAGTTGGCCAAAATTCAAGCATTCGGATTTGTAGAAGGATACCAAAAACAGTCGCCCCTTTATTCTCAAGACACTTTATTGATCCAAAAAGAAAATTAAACTTTGAAATAACATGGCCTTTTCCCTCCCAACAAGTTGATTGTTGATAGCTGTAGGCAGGTTAGATCTGCTGCAGAGGTCTGTTTTGCACATAATCTGTAAAAGTCTCTGACTTAGGAAACACTTTGTTGTTTCGAATAGGCTTCTGAAGAGGATGTTCACAGTTGCCTATAATGCTTTTCACTCAATGAATAATGCTTCTTTGTGAATCATTTTGAGAGATTCAAAAAGGGAGTTTTCTAGCCTTCTTTTGATCCCTGTCTGCTTGTATGTTCAGAAAGCATTGCCCAAAATGACCGATTGAAGATATGGCTTTAATTCACTCCTCCTCTCTCTGCTCCTGCTCTGCATCCTTGGCACCTCCTTTTTAACTGGGACTTGCAGAAAGACTTAAAGTTTTATTAGAGAATTTGATATATTTGATATTTGATGAGCTACTCTGGGGTGTAAAAAAAAAAGACAGATTTGTTATGGTTGCTATGGTTATGCATCAGAACAAATGCCCCAAAATGAAAGGAAAAGGGCAAACATTGTTTCAGTAGCACAGCATCCAACATCAGAGATAAATACAATCACAATTTATTTTTATTTGGTAACCTATTTTTCAGTCAAACATTGTGACCCACCTGGATAGCCCTGGGTCACAGTGTTGATGTAGGAGGTGCTGAACACGCCGACCCGTGCACCGCGTCCATTCTTCATGCACATGCACACGCAGAGGAATAAGGCAGCCACTGCTCCCATCAGAAACACAACGCCAAACACGATGCCGGAGATGGCAGTGCCCCTGGAACAAGTACACACACTCCATGAGCCATCCAAACGTGTAAGGCCTTTTCACCAGCACTTGCCCCTCTCTGCCATCACTTTTCCTGTGCTGCCATGGAGATAAAATGCCTCATCTGATCTAACTCAGCTGTGAGGCGTGTGCAAATCAAGCGACAAGAACATGTGCGCTCGCTGCAGAGGAGTCTGTGAACTGGCACTCGGAAAAATAGCTCATTAGCAGGTTTGTAATTACTCAGCCGAGTGGTTTTAATTCAAATGTTTGGCATCGTGATCAAAATGTGGTTCTAAAGGGGACGACTGGAGCATCGCGGGTTGGTCTTCAAGGTAAAGAAAGGTTTCATAGTTTGATCAACCTGCTGAAGCTACTGCGTGACGGCTGCAAGGAGTCAAAAGGTCAGATGCTTTGCAGCGCCTTCTGGGTTGTTTAGTGACAGCTGGTATGTGAGCTAGCCTCCTCTCATTTGAATCATAGGCATAATCTAAAGCTATTGTGCTTTAACTTTTTTCTTTGTGACCCATCACTTTTAAAGAAGGAAAGTTCAAATCAACTCCGCTCCCCATTTGAGGAGTGGCGGCCTAGTGGTTTGGGCATAGAGCTTGGAATACTGAGGTTCTGAGTTCAAGCCCCACTCCCACAGACTGCCACTCTGGGTCCCTGAGCAAGACCCTTAACTCCACACTGCTCCCCTGGCGCCGCACATTGGCATCCCACTGCTCCCCGAGGGGATGGGTTAAATGCAGAGTGCTCATTTTGTTGCTCTGTACTTGTGACAATGTAATGACAATAAAACGCTGAAAAAAAAAAATATTTACATTTTAGGATATCCAGGAGAAGATTAAAGCACTAGTTGTCCCGTTTGCTTTTAGGAGATAATAAATAAAAAAAACTTCCTGGGAACTGAGGCTGCTACTGTAAAGGCTTGAGCAGCAGCTACCTTACTTAAGTTTCTGTCCAGTATGTTAGAAACTCTAAAAATCATTCCAAATCATCAAAAACCTCAAAGAAATGTCAAGGGAATTAAATAAATGAAGAAAAAGTGCATTCAAAAGATTTTAAATAAAGAAAAAATGCTGCTCTAGTAACATTTTGTCTGCGTGTTCACTTACGAGAGGACGTCCCCGACGTAGGCATAGTAGGAGCAGCAGAACGGTGGCGAGCCGTCGCAGCAGTACTCTATACAACCTTCACAGTGGGCCTCACCACCACCTGAAAACACAAGTCCACATCTTTATCAGATGAAAAACATAAGATAATGAAGACAAAACGGTGACGGAGACGAGTACAGCCTGCAATTATCCAGGAAGGACGTCTGAGCAGGAGCCAATTAGTGAACTCCCCTCTACTGCGATGCCTCAACAGGAATCCATTCCGATCGGCTTTGATGTAAACTTGATAAGCTGGGCTGATCCTCACAGTTTGTACCACATCTTAAGTGTGAAATTAAACATAAGCAGTGCTTAAAGAAAAGCTGCCCCCCATTTTGTGGCTTTATACAATGTTTGAGGTATTTCTGGCTTCATCTTATGACTGAGCTCCATCTGAAATTGGGAGCTGGCCAAATATTAACTAAGGGTCCAGTTTCTGCCAAATTGGCTCCGGCAATCAAGATACTGAGCAAAACTCAATTTTTAAGCACATATTCAAGATATCAAGTTTTTATTTAAACTATTTTGAATCATTACGGCTAAAGTGAGCAGACGCAGGACAAGGATTGAGTAAGCCTGGCTGTTAGTCTGGTCTAAATCACAGTGTTAACTGATGTGTATCTGCTTTTGTGAAACTGAGTTGAGGCTTAATTTGGCCATGATATCAGAAAAATTCAGATTTAAACCCTTATCTTTGTTTCCATGAAATGGGCCCCAGATCAGCTAACTCTCACTGGTGAAAAAAACTCTTATTACTGACTTAAGTACAGAGAGTTTTTCAAGTTCCCAAAACTGGTATAAAACCAGCTTTCCCATCAAAACTCAAATTGATAGCCAGGCTTTACTGTTTTAGCCATTTTCTACCCCTAAACAAACCATTTCATACCCACGTATGCCCGTCATTCTGGTTCTATTGGCATTCTGATGACTTACATGGAATAATAATTAAAAAGTGCTCAAATCTTATAAATTATAAATAATTGTGGGTTATTTTAAGCAAAATTTGATTTCACATTTTTAATTCTTAAAGGTAAAGAGGACCATCTTTTGTTTCCTGGTGGATCATCTAAATAAGTGGTCCTCCTAACTGTCAATCATCCTGGTGATGTGTTTACGTAAGGCCATCCTACGCGCTCATCCCTAGTTAGCTATCTTTTTCTGCACATCCGTACTTTCAGGCGTATGTATATCTGTGGTGAGCTACGGTTTCAGACAGTCATTGAAGCTCACCTTTCTCACTGCAGTTCTTTGAAAATGGCCGAGGGTTGTAAGAGAAAAAGTGTCTAGCTACGAAGTGTATGAGAAGAAAAGAAAGGCCTCAGAAGAGGAAGATATATCGCAGAATGCTTTACGCAGAGAGCTCTGCTTGCAAAGCACTATGGGATTTGCTGTCACAGCGGCCTGCTATTATGATAGGCTGTCCCTAACTGACAGCGGCGACAAATAATGATGGCGCAAGCACCGCTCAGTGGAGGAGGAGTTACGTGACCAACAGGGAAGGAAAAGTAGTGATCATCTGTCGGAACGGTAAGTTAACTGAGTTCACTATAAAGTCCCCTATATAGTCCCCTTTCTATACAGTGATTGAAGGACTTGGGTGTTAGAGCTGAGGTTTAGACACAGTAAGCTTGTAAACTTTTAAACGGAGCGTGCATGAGGAGAAATGGAATCCTGCAAATTTGCTCTCTGTACCTTTAAGAAATTTGATTTCGACTCCTGATCAAAACAGCTAAAATTATAGAAAACTCCTTCAAAAAAAAGCAACAGGTTAAAGGAAACATCTGAAAAAACATTTCATTTACATCTTCTTTGCTTGAACACCAGTAGATATGCCAGTTTTACTGACAAAAAAAGATACTGCTAGAAAAAACTAAACCAAAAAAAACAGGAACCCCCCCCAACCTATTACATTTTCAATCAATTACATAAAAAAGACCAAATGTCCAAGCAACAAAAAGCAATATGCAGCATAGTCGATTATGGCTGGTGTGCTGAATGAGGCTGACAGATTTATCTGTGACAGAAATATCTAATGAGGACATCAAAAATGGATCCAGACCACTGCTGGATGCCACACTAACCTTTCCTTTGACATTTTAGAACAAAACAACTCCAGACTGTAAAAAAAGGAAAAAAATAGCTCTTCCTACTTAGCAATAAGTGGAGGAGGAGGACAGAAAATACTGTAGCTCTATTTGTCTGAAAAAAAAAAAAAAAAGTGAATTGAGTTATTTTTCCTGTTATTTTACAGGATTCGGCAGCACCTGCATGGCCAATCTGCAACAAATGCTAAAATTGTTCCTTCCTTAAAGTGACTTTCATCTAAAAAACTACTTTAATCCAGAAGCTTCTTAAAGGGCAGAGTATAAAATCAGCAGAGCAGAACAAAGATAATCAAGATTCAGCTGGATTAATAAGCAGTGAAAAAGATGCCTAGAAGTGGTAGACAGATTGACGGGCATGTTTTGCCACAATCTATAGACATGATTGATGCACCTCTGGTAAGATTTACTCAGCACCCGTCTACATTTGTGACGAATGGCGTTCAACACTCAGCTCTACAGTTTATTTGCAAAGAACACGTTCTGTTAATAAACATAAATCATAATCGCTTTGAGGAATGGTTTAGGATGGGGAAGCAAAAAAAGTAAAAATATAAAAAGACAGTATTAAGTGTGCTCCCCCACCCCCTTACAGTCAGAACTTTTGGAAAGCAATCTTTTGCAGCAATTATAGATGAAGTCACTTTGATTAAGTCTTTAAGAGCATGCCAAATCTTGCCACCAGGATTTTTGCCCATTCCTCTCACAGCAGAACTGATCTGGCTCCTTCACAGTGGATCTCCGAACTTTAAAAAGTCCTGCTTTACAGCTTATTGCGGTCCTATGCACAGCAGTCTCTGCGACGGAACGCTAGCCCCATTGGACTGTATGCTTCCTCTCTGATTTATGCCCTCCTTACCCCGTCTACGTTCTGGTGGGTGGCCCTCACTAGGCAGGTTTGCTGTGGTTCAAGATGCTTTCCATTTTAAGATGGATTTAACGGTTTGGATACGCCTTTACAACACAACCTTGACTTGTAACACTCAACAACTCTGTCCCCCGACTTGTTTGGAGAGTATTTTGCTTAGTAGGGCTGCAGCTTCTGAGGCCTTTCAGCAATCATATGTTTACACTGATGGATCACGCAAGACCGCACACACCTGCACTTCGTTTCACTAATTATGTGACTTTTGAAAGCAATAGAACTTAACATGGGCTTAATAGCAAAGGAGGTGGATAGATCTACATATATATACATAAATACACATATATACACAAACATGTATATATATATATATATATATATATATATATATATATATATATATATATACACACATATATACACACACATACATATATATATATACACATACATTATATATTATATATATTATATACATTCATACATTATATATATGTGTGTGTGTGTGTATATATACACATATATATATACACACACATACACATACATATATACACATACATACATATACACATATATATACACGTGCAAATAAACACATACATGCATACATACATACATACATACATACATACATACATACATACATGAATACATACATACATACATACATACATACATACATGAATACATACATACATACATACATACATACATATACATACACACAGAGACACACATGCATTATATTTTTTTCATTTTATGTCACAAAATCTGCAAAGCAAATCATCTGATAGAGTACAGCATTACTCAATCTCTTCCTACTGACAGACCGTGTGAGAACTTTAACCAGAGATGCTGCCAGGTTCGTAAGTCTGTAGGAGCTGCTGCACAGATCCACAGTTTAGGAAGGAGAAACTTTAAACAGCAGGGCTGCAACTAAAGATCACTTTGCTCATCGATTAATCTGTCGATTATTTTTACAATTAATCAATTATCGGATAGCTTAAGGTTCATGAAGATTTTTTCCACAGAATTTATACCACAAGAAACTAAAACTTTTTCATTTGAGGAGTACTAGATAGGGCATTTTGACAGACAAAAATTTTTTTTAATTCTAAATGCAAAAGGTTTTTTGTGACAATTTCAGTGTAATTACTGCTCTAAGAGAATCACTCTATACTCCAATTAACCATTAATTGATTACTGAATTAGCTGACGATTATTTTAACAATCGATTAATTCAATTAATTGTTCAGCCCTAGTAGACAGCACAACTATTATTCATGGTCCCAGTTTATCTGGCCCTAATAAATCAGTAAGTACTAAATAATTCAGTAAGTACTGTAAAATAGATAAGATTTTAAACAATAATCTAATTTACTGGAATGCAGTTAACAATAACTGTAAAGATTTACTTATTATTTATTTTTGCAGTGGTGGTTCACTGAGACCGTAATTAAAATTAAAATATTAAGAAGGTTTTTTTTTTTTTGTAAATCTTACACAACTGGTGAAGGAAAGTCAGTTTAATTAAGGTTGTGTCTGATTTTTACACTAGTTCTGAACCAGCTTTAAAAGGAACTTAATATTTTTATTGTTATTAATTGTATTTTCAGTAATAAAAAAAAAAGCATGATCAAATTTGAAGTCCATATCACCGATCCCTAATCCAGGGCGGTGGCAGCATTATGCTAAGGGCCGCCTTTCTGATATGAGAAATTAGTAGAACTATTTATATATACAAAAAAATCAAAAATTCAAAGAGTTATGAATATTTTAGTAAAGCTTTCGTGATCCCCTAGGAGTCTCTCACACAATCAGGTTAACTTTATGACCCTCAATAGAGCAGGACTGTGCAGAGCGCGCGTGTGCGCACAGCGCGTGCGCGCGCGCGTCTCTTTGCTCAGGGATCTGCGTTGCCTCAGCGATCACGCTGGAATGATGAGCGCCTCAAGGCAAATATGAACATTTTAAAGCGAGAAGTTCAAATACAGGTGGAAAAACTAAAAGAAACAGAGAGCTGTTTTTTTTCCATCCATAATATTAAACTTTAACGCACTGAAAATAGTCCCTTTTTAAAAGTATTTAAATCAGACTGAGTTTATTCTCATTTCATTTATGCTGGGGGGTGGTGACTCACTCTTTTAATTCAACAGTGCCTCTCTAAACACTTCCCACTGGCAGACTCCTGGGGACCTCTGTCTGGGTGGTCTACTAAGGTCCTGGCTCTTGTCCTTCCACACGCTGGGAGACAATGGAGGCACCATGTCCCCCCCCCCCCCCCCCCCCCTCTCTCTGCCTCCCTGCCTGCTGCCCCCCCTCTCTCCACACCATCAGCTTGTCCTCTGAACCCACCAGAGCTCAAGTTTCCTGCAGTTTTGAAGGTGCCACTCTGTTAAAAATATCAGTTTTCCCCCATCCTGCCAAAACCAGGAGGATGTTTATGAGTCAAAGGCTTAATTAAACACCTAATTAATGAATAAAGTAGCTAAACTACAACAGCATTGATTTTAAAATTAAACTTACCAGTGAATAATCCAAGGAGCAAAGAGTTCCTCAGAAATTTATACCTAAAAGTCTCTGATCTGCATCTCCTCCAGAGGTTTTCCATGATCTCCAGCTGAGCAGTCCTGGTTTCTAACTGACAGTAGTTGAAAGGAAAAACGAGCTTCTCTTAAAGAAGTCAAACATTTGGTATAGTTCATCCAAGCCGTTTTGTCAAACTTTAATTTTCTTCCTCTCTCTGAAAAGCAGAGCTCCTGGTTTGGGTGTTTTTTTCCACGTGTGGAAGCCTCTCCAGTCCCCACACCTCCAGTAAAGCAGGCTGCAGCTGAAGGCTTTTATTCCTCTCCCTCCTCCCACTGAGTTCACACTGTGGAGAGACAGAAGGGAAGTCAGGCTCAACTTTGATAAATGTTTTCAAAATAAAATACAGACTGATTATGAATACATATTCTGTAAAAAACAAAAAACAAAAATGGTTTTCCCTTTTTTTTCAGAGAACAAAATTATTGCAATATTTTTCAAATTTAAACTGTTTAAAAAACTATACTGTTTTATGAAAATATACAATAGAATAGAGAATCCCTTTATTGTGAAACACAAATTTGCATATGAAAAACATAATAGTAATGAGTTAAAAGATAAACATTAAAATACTGTACTGCAAAGTGTTTTAAAGATATAAAAACTGTGCACCAATATACAGCTATGGACATTTTACAGTTATGCATATTTGAAAATAGCAGCAACATCAGAGACGTGCAAAATGACAGAAGCATGGTATTTAACTGTGCAAAATCAGCATGAATGTAACAACTTATTGAAGTTGTTGGGAACAGCTGTGGTTATAAAGTCTTTACAGCTGCTGGGAGGAAGGATCTGTGATAATTCTCCCTGGTGCATTAAGGGTGCGGCCGTCTGTCACTGAAGGAGCTCTCCAGTTCTGCAGTATCTATGCATGGGGTGGGAGACATTATCCAACAAATATGTTAATTTAGTTAGGATGCTTTCTTTTCCACCTCCTGCACTGAGTCCAGAGGGCATCTAATCACAGAGCTGGCCTTCCTACTTACTTCCAAAATATATTTTTTGAATGAAATGAACTTATTTCTGGGTCAAGTTTCAGTAACTACATCCAATCCATTCATAGCAGAATAAAGAGTGAATAAATAATTGTAATAGAAAAGAATAGACTATTTGTGGGCGGGTCCAAGGCTGTCATCATGTCATAAAAAATGTATTTATCATTAATTGTGTAATATATGAATCTATATCAAACAATTTATGGATTATTAAAATGACAATAAAATCTAACCCTTTGAAAATAAATTGTAGAAGTATTTAGAAAAGGGTTTCTTTCTGGTTGAATTAGTCATTACAACACCAGAATTTTCTAATAATTGTATGATTGTTTCATTAAATATTACTTTTAAAATTGCAAATCAAAGGATGTGATGTGTGATGAAACCAATTTATTTTTATTTTTTTGTAACCAAGTTATTTCTTTCAATATAAATTAATTATTAAAACCTCTAAACTTGTGCATATCTTATAAAATAGAAGTTATCGCGGTGGACTGTCATGATTGAAAATTACAGCAGGAAGTATGCTAAATTATCTCAAAAAGCAGCACTGATCTTTAAATTCAACAGAAAATGAGAAACCCATGATCAATCTGTAAAAGGGTAATGAAAGCATTTTTGAATCACACTAAAAACCGTTCACACACAGCTTGAGAAAACATCGAATAGCAGTGGCCTACCAAAATGACTCCAAGAGCTTATCAGGAATCATCCAGGAAGTCATAAAATAACTCTGAACAGTAGTTCTCAAACCTGCTCCTCCTTCATGTTTCACGTGCCTAAAAAGCTAGATGATCACTAAAACCTTTGGAGAAATATATAATGGAAGGATCAAGTCAAAGGTGATAATAAAAAGGTGCATCATTTTGCATTTACAGGAGGAACCAGGTAATTGTTTAAAGGCAATTTTGCTTTCATTCTAAAAATTGATAATAAAAAAAAAAGAAAATAAAAAAACAAATAAATCTTTGTATTCTTATGTAATGTAAGTATTCAGAAATTGTTTATTAAAATTCCTTTATATTTATTTTATGATGCTATAATAAAAATCTAAATTTCAACAGACTGGTTTATTTATTTATTTATTTTTTTTACATACATCTATGTTTGTCTGTTTATTTTATAGGGTTTGCTTTTGTGCCAGAGTTTGTTTTTTTCACCTACTCTATGCATGGCTGGTGCTTTTGTTTTGAAGGGACTAATTTTGTCCATATGTTTCCCTGGTAACGCCTCATCCCTGATGCATTACAAGTTAACCCAGTGTGTTTCTAGGACTGTTGAAGACTGCGTGCCTGGATGTGTTGTCAGAATCAGACCCAAGGACACACTTTACAAAACACCTGCACGATTCTGTAGAAAAACAACAATCAGACTGTGTTTTTAGATAGATTTTACTCTAAAGGTTCATGTACCCATTCTAAAGTGTTTTCCAGTTGTATAAAAAGCTTAAATCATATATTTTTGACATCACCACCAGTCCAACGTCATATGCCAGCATCAAAATATTATGTTGCCTCTTGGAAATTGTCCTCAAAGAAGATTTGTATTTAACTCCATCCTTGTCTCTAACAATAGCATCCCCACAGCATGATGCTGCCCTTACCGTGTTCCACAGATAGCATGGTGGGCATAGGGTGCTGTATGTAAAGTTCACTTTTAGTCTCAAAGAGTGCTTTTTTCCTCCATCTTTGCTGCATCCCTAACATGGTTCACGGCAGTACGGGAAATTATTTTGGCTTCTTTTTAGTGATTCTGTGTTGGGGAGAAAACACACAGAAGCTGTTGTGAGATTCAGAGGCGGTTCTAGACAAAATTTAGCAAGGGGGCCAGGGTGGGACCAGTGTTTTTACATAAGGGCAAAAAAGAAAAAAAGGGCAAGAAGCCTATTGAGTGAGCCACAAGCCTGTAGTTGTTTAAGTGAATAGTGAAGTTTAAATATGAAACTGTTCAAATCGGTTTGTAGACTTTTCTAAAAAAATAAAAATTATTATTACATTGCAAATACTTAGCTATTAAACGTTTTTAAAAATCAGTGCATTTGCATTTAATTTGAACAGATAACCAAGGCTATCTGCCTAAGGAATGAGGAATTCGACAATTAAAGCAAAAGGAATTAGATGCCATGCACTTGAAATAATTGTTTTTATTTTTACTAAGAACACTACAAAAATTGAAACCTAAATAAGTAATTCTTTCTTAAAATAAGGACATTTTTTCTTAAATTTAGGAGGTAAGTGAGACACTTTGCCAATGGTACAAAACAATTTATATTTAAATAAGAAAAACAGTTGTATTGTCTTATTTTAGGTGCATATTATCTATTGATTTTATGCTAAGAGTAAAAATACTCATTCCATTGGAAAATTATTTTATTTACCTATTCAAATTAAAGGTAAATATACTTAATTTAAGGAATTTGTGCTTATTTCTAGGTTGTTTTTGCAGTGGGGAACTTTCACTAATGCCTCATATGAGTTAAAAGTGTTATGTTTGTACAATTTTTTACTCTAGATTATATTTCCATTTAGTAAAACAAAGCAGGGTGCACCCCACATATGGACCAGTCTGATTCTGGTTATACATTGTGTGTAAACAACACAACCACGCTCAGTCTGTGCTGACTTAATTACTTGTAAGGATTTAAGAGTAGCTCTAATAGATATCTAAATGGGTAAATTCAAACAATTAAGCCACTTTGATTCAATAAAGTGTAAATGTAACCAAAAGTTATGAATGTATTTTATTTTTTAATAATTTGGATAACATGGGTGCATACAAAAACAACTTTCAAATGATAAATGCATCAATTAAACTGTAAAAAAGCTTTCCAACTGGTGTATTTTTCACTGCGCCGCATGTATAAATAAAACATTTGCCTTCAAAGGTAGATTTTTTATTAATTTTTATACCTCACCTGGTGAATAGTGCTACAGGCCACAAAGCATGTGCTTTTAGCCAGGAAAAGTGGATCAGATTTTCTTTAATTTAACCAAACCTTTATAGGCAAACCACCGGGTGGCAGAAGGATGAGGGTAATTTAGCTCTCAGAAATGCCACCCACGTGGAGCAGCGATGATTCATAATGCCTTCCAGATGTTGCTTTCAAGCTGTAATAATGTGCTGCGAGAGAGACATGTAAAAACAAGCAGGTAAAACCCAGCAGGCAACATTTTCAGTTCAAACATTTAAAAGGTGACACTTTCTTCCACTATCTTTTAAAATAAATGAATAAAATTAATTTAAAAAAAGTTTCTAGAGTGCTTATCCCCCCCCCCCCCCCCCCCCCCCCCCCGCCCCAACTACATTGCACTACTGACTTATTCTATTGTAAAACTGTTTTCCTTATACCTTTCTATAAAATTGCTCCAGAAAACCTCCATTAGTGACAAGAAAGGAAAGTTTTTTAAACATTTTTTTCAGATAAGTATTAGTAGTTACGTAGGAGTATTCATTTTCCATAATAAAAACCTAATAAAGCATTGAGAAATGCCTGTTTGCACCATTGAAACATAGAAATATCAGTTGCAAACATGACCTGTTCATGACTGTTTCAAAATGATTATTATTTTGGCTTTTTATTTTAATTGCTTATTAATTTCATAGAAATCGTCAAGAGATTTTGAATGAATAAATGGCCTATATAAATAAATGGCACAATGATGAAGAGCAACACATTTTTTCTTTTTAAGAGCAATTATCTTTTTATATTTTATGCAATAACATAAGTTACACATCAGTGTCTATAAAGGCAGAACAAAAGAAGATTGTGATTACAGTAACAAACACCCGCAATGGAATAGAGAGAAGGAAGAAGAGAAAAAATAAATTAATTAATAAAAATGAAAATAGAAACACACATGATCAACCTTTACAGGAATAATACTTGCTCCAAAAACATTAATTCACCGAAACAGATTATAGCAGATTGTCTACAGTATCCCATGTCAAATCAAATGTATCTACAAAGCATTTGAATATTGGCAATTTTCTTTTCCTAGAATAAGTAATTTTTTTTTTCACTCTTTGT